GGGATCTTTTGACAGGACAAAATGCAGCTGCTCAGAAAATAAATCAGTTATCACCTACATAATTGTATTTCCTGAGCTGTCTGGAAGTTCCACAATAAAATCCACGGAGATCTCTCTCCAGGGTGCTGAAGACTCCACCACAAATTGGAAGAGTCCTGGGGTCTTCCCTTGCCGTCACTTGGCTGAGGCACAGATAGGGCAGCTTGCTACATAGTTTTCAATGTCTTTTTCAGAGATGGCCACCAAAACTGCCTTTTGATCAAATGCAAAAGTTTTACAGAACCAAAATGTCCAGCAACCTTGGAGTCACGACTGTTCTCCAAGATCATTAACCTCTGACTCTCTGGCACATATATCTTAGCCCCACCCAGGCTAGTCTGGGCATATGTTGCCATGGTTTGGAAACCATTTGTTGTCTTTCAGAGTGGCTTTAAGTGTGGCTGTCATCTTGTTGTCAATTTATGGTTTCTCTTTTGCTTGCACTCAGATGGTGACTTGGGCAGCCAGTTGACTGAATGGGAGCAGAGGTTTGATTAGTTCTGCTTTAGGGCAATTGTATTGTGTTGGATGTATATTTTGTGTATATCTGTAGATATTGTACTCTCAAATTGCAAATGGACATGTGGGTACTCTATCTTTCTTATCTTCCTTTTTAAGTGCTTTGATTTTATTGTATTGCGAACAGTTGCTGGGGTTCATCCACAGTTTCATTGTACTTGTACAATGACAATAAAGTTCTTCTAATTCTATTGAGGCGTTTAAGACAAAAGCATCAGCCAAGAAGTTCTTGCCCCCTGGGAGGTAGTGTAACACAAAGTTAAAGCAGTTAAGTTATTGTCCCCATTACACCTGCTTAGGAGATAGCCTCTGTGGGATTTTTAATGCCCCTAGGTTCTTGTAGTCAATCCATACTTCAAATGACACTTTGCTCCCCTCAGGGAAATGGCTCTAGGTTAGGAGTGTCCAACGCACCACGTAAGCTTCCTTCTCTCATATTACTCACCTTTGCTTAGTCCCTGATAGTTTTCTGGAAGTGTAAGCACAGAATTGTAGCTGGCCACTATCATTTTTCTGTAACAACATAGCCCCCATGGTGACATTGCTAGTGTCAACCTAGATAACAAAAAGGGTGTTTGGGTCACGATATTTCAGGATGAGTTCAGTCACAAACAACTCTTTGAGCTTCTTGAAAGCTGTCTGGCATTCTAAAGTGCATTTAAGGGGCCGTCTAAGTTTAGATTTGTCCTCCCCTTTTGTTTTTAATAGCTTTGTGCTGGGGAGCCCTATCTGCGCAAATCATAGAGTGAATCGCTGGTAAAAGTTGACAAAACCCAGAAAGCTCTGCAGTTGCTTTCTGGTTGGGGTGGAGCCCAGTCCAGCACTGCTTCAACTTTTTTGGAGTCCATTTCAATTCTTTCATGTGAGATGCGATAACCCAGTCTATTTTGGTCTGGTGCAACTCACACTTGGAAAGTTTGGCATACAGTTGCAGTCAGTTTCTTCACTACAGCTATTACCAGTTTCACATACTCCACCTTGGTTTTGATGTAGATTCAAATATCACCCAAACACACCAGTACCCCTTTATACAGGTGCTCATGTAAAACCTCATCTATCAATCGCATGAACACCACTGGGGTTCTCTGTCTGGAGGCCAAAAGGTAGGATTCTAAACTGGAAGCATCCCAAAGGGCATTTGAATGCAGTTTTCCACTCATTCCCCTCCTTGATTCTCACATGATAGTAGGTTTCTTGCAGGTCCAGCTTCGTGAATATTTTGACTTTGGCCAAATGAACTAGCATGTCCTTCATATGGAGGGCAGGGAGGAATGTTTTCCACACAAACAGCATTTAGCCCCATATAATCCACTCATAGACAAAGCACCCCATCCTTTCCCTGAAACAGGACAGGGGTTGCTACCCGGGGTCAGGGCAGATTTTTGTCAATGAACACCTGCAATTCATCTACTGTATTTTTCAGAGTATAAGACACTCCAAAGTATAAGATGCACCTAGCTTTGGGGGAGGAAAATGAGAAACAAAATCTGCCTCTGCCTCCCAGCAATTTGCCTCTTTGCAGGAAAGAGCAAACAGCCTGTTTCACCTTCACCACAGCCTGATCAGCATGAGCAGTTGATTGTCGATTGGATTGTCCTCCCCACGATCAGCTGTTTCAGTCAGTAGCCTATTGCTGCCTGCACACATCCCATTTTGGCCCCCGTATCCCATTTTCAGCCTCTGCATGCCCCGTTTTCAGTGTCCGAGTGCCCCATTTTCGCCCCATTCCAGGTGGCAGGGATCAGAATGGGCAGAAAGTGGAACATGTGGAGGCGAAAATGGGGTGCACGAAGGTGGCACTAGGCAAAGGCAATCCTTGCAGCCTGAAACAGCTAATCGTGAGGAGGCCAAACCAACCGATAATCAGCTGCTTGTGCTAATCAAGCTGTGCTGAAGGTGAAACAGACTGTTTGCTGTTTTCTGCAAGGAGGCAAATGGCTGGGAGCCAGAGGTCAAAGGGCTGGTGGGTGGGTGGGGCTTCAGCAACATTCGCTGTATAAGATGCACAGACATTTCCACCCACTTTTGGAGGTTGAAAAAGTGTGTCTTATACTCTGAAAAATACGGTAACTCTTGGGGTCATCGAATACAGCTACAGTTTAGGCAGTCTAGCCCCTGGTAGGATCTCTATGGCACAGTCTGGCTGTCAGTGAGGGGAGGGGAGTTCATCTGAGCCCTTTTTGCCAAACATCTCTCTTAAGTCCCGATATTCTTTGGGGATAGTGGGGAGGTCCTTTTCCAACCCCTGCACTACTGCCCTGATTTCCTGCTAGATGGAGGTTACCTTCCAGATTCCTCTTGCTCTCAGGGAGGATGATTCATCCAGATTTTTAACAGTCTCCTTCTCTGGTTTACATAAGGATTCCACTTTTTTAGCCACGGCCAACCCTAACATCAGCAGTTGGTCCAACCCTAGGGACACTATGAAGCTTAAAGTCTGTATATGAGCCCCGTCTGCATTTGCATGAGTTTGGTGACAAATGTTGCTGGGATGCCCCCTGCTACCAATACATCTAGCTGGCAAAATGTGATAGGGGCTTTCAGCATCTCAAGCACATCCCCAATTTCTCAACCAGAGCTGGTTAACCAGGCAGTGGAACGTGTCTGTGGGATGTGCAGTTTCACCGTCTCTTCTCCGGGGGTGATTTCTTCCATGGCTGGGCTGTGTAGTACTTATTTCTACCTCTTCGACCAGTACATGCCAATCACGGAGAGTGGTGTGGAAAAACTTTGAAAAGTAGGCATTGTACAGATAGTCATTCAGTCCATCTTTAAAACAGCTGATGAAGATATCCTCCAGCCAGTCTTTGAGTCGGCATACCAGGTCATAGTATTCCTCAGTGTACTCTGCCACCACTCTTCAGCCCTAATGCACGGTTTTGATGTGGTCCCTTGCTGCAGCCCCTGCCATGGTGTCTAGCGCTGACCCTCAAAACAAAATACTTTCTGAAAACCACAGGAATTTTCAGAGTCAGTTTTCACCAGATATGTGCCAATATATTTCCAATAAAAGTAATCTCTGAGGAATTCAATTGCCTCAGAGTCTTACTTGCAATGTATTTATTACTTGGAATCCTGACAGCTAAAACATAAAGAATGGTTGCTGGAATTTGGTATATCTAATTTAATAAAAAGGAGTAGGGGTGACATGATAGCAGTATTCTGATATCTCAGGGGTTGCCACAAAGTAGAGGGAGTCAAGTTATTCTCCAAAGTACCTGAGGACAGGACAAGAAGCAATGGATGGAAACTAATCAAGCAGAGAAGCAACCTAAGAAGAAAGTTTTGACAGAACATTTAACCAGTGGAACAACTTGTCTCCAGAAATTGTGAATTCTCCAACACTGAAAGTTTTTAAGAAGAGATTGGACAAACATTTGTCTGAAATGGTATAGGGTTTCCTGCCTGAGCAGGGGATTAGAATAGAAGATCTCAAAGGTCTCTTCCAATTCTGTTATTCTATTCTATTCTATCTTCCACCTTTTGGGTCTGTTGGGCCCCGCTGGTGGCAGTTGTAGCATATGGCTGGCATGCCTTCAGGGTTTGGAAGGCATGCATTGTGAACTGTATGGCTTACTTCATCAAGGTCGGTATAACCAGATTCTCCGACTTCCTCATCCTCAAACTCTTCCAGCTCTGGTTGCTTTTGTCAGCTGCCTCGCATTGTTGTCACCCCTCTGCTTCTTCCTGCCCAGTCTTCCTTCTTTCTGACTCCAATGGACCACCTGGGTCTCGATGAATCTCTAGGGTTCCCAACCTCCTCTGTCCAGAAGGTCCAGCCCAGGGGGAGGTCTGGTCAATGCTTTCCCCCAGCACTCAGCTTCCTCCTGGTCACTGCCTTGGGCTGCTATTGTATGCATGGTAATGGCAATATGCCTCCAGGCTCTCCAACTTTGCAAATTTTGCCTAATATAAGGACCTGTCCCAGCTGATCTCTCAGAATCAAAGTAACATTTATTGAGAGTGTGGTTGTAATAGTCAGGTGAAATCTGAAAAAGCCTGCAAAGTACAAGGTAATTCATTCATCACCAACCCCAACCTCTCCCCCAGTTTGCTAGCAGCCAATGTGATGCCACAAAGTTGTTTTGAGGTGTAGGCAGATAATGGTTCACTCTCACCCTCATAATGGCCTTGGAGTCTGCTCGGTCTTCAAAGACAATCCCCCTAATTCCCAGTTATAGCAAAAGCAAAAGCATGCAAAAAAAAAAATGACACCAAGCCCTTCCAACAGAATGGCAGGACACCATATGAACCTGACATTAGGTTTCCATGTTTGCTTCTTAGAAAAGGCAATTTCCAAGGCACTGAACAGAGATAGGACAATGCCCAATGTATACATTGTTGGCTGGGATATAGTAGTTATAGCGAACCACCCAGTTGTTGAATGTCAAGTGATATGCACATTTTCTAAATCAGCACATTTTAAGAAGAGGCAGACTCATTCCAGCTTAGTCAAAAGAATTTATTAGAAAATATTCTGAACTACATAAAACTCTTTAGAATATTGTTTTCAGTATATTTTATTCCAGCCCTAAGCGACAGATACCAGAGCCTGGATTACATCAGCCACTGTGATCCTGATTTTAATTTTCCTTTATTTAAATTATAACACATTTAAGTCACATGCACACCAAAAGACTGGAATGAGTGTTCAGTGCACCATTTCAAGAAACATCAATTATCATTTTTTTCATAGCAATTTAAAGCAGTTGGATTTGTTTTGTTATTACTGAAATTTTTGCAGTGTACTACCAAGAAATAAGTATTTCAGTCAATAGTCACAGGAATACAAAAATAACTTGCCTATTCTAATCCTGTCTATTCCAGAAGCCCTAATGAATTAACCAATTGAATTTCCTCTCTTTATAGGTAGGACTGCAATCTTAGTATAATGAAGAAATGTTCCTAAGCTTGGTTACAAGTTTTCCTTGTATATTTGTGGTAAGGCTAGTGTTGTTTTAATTAAAAAATAGTATAGTTTGGCCAAATTTAGTCATATACATACTTCATAAGGATGTTCAGCATGAATCAGTGTTTCAGTACTGACAAAGTTATCAGAAAAGGAATAAATGCTGGATGCAATCACTCTACCCCAAATGACCAGCCCCAGAAATACTTCAAAGCATGCTGACTTATGCTTGTAGTGTTTAATTCAGAAATAGATGCATCTTGAACTAACAAGTACACATTACCTCCATTCACTGTTGGTGAAGTGCTTGTTACATAAACAAACAAATATCTTTCAAATCAGTGATGTGTGCCTGAATTATCATTGAAAAGGCTGCATGTTAGGGAATGACTTAAAAAAATATTTAAGGAAACAGGCCAACTGCATGCTAGTCAATATCCCTTTTCATTCAGTTTGGAAATACAGTGAAAGTTTGCTATAATCTGCTGCTATTACACTGGAGAGATACGGTAAGAAAACATTAAAAAACTTCCTAATCCATCATCTCACCAATAATAATAATAATGATAATAATAATAATAATTATGAAGATTGTCTCAACCTTAACAGAAATCTTTTTTCTCCTTTTCGGCACTGAACTGGGTCCCTATTAATTTTGCATCAAAAAGTAAATTAGCTCCATGGTCAAACATAGATTCAATTTTAAAGTCTGGTTTGTGGCTAGTACATCTTATGCGGACAAAAGAGATATACTCAGCAAAAACAAATTAAGAATGAGCATGTAAATCTGAGAAATTTCATGAACTTCTAAAGTAGACCTAAATTCAGAAAGACTAAGAAAATAACACATATGCATCAAACCAACACACAGTATACCTATGAATTCCTACCCCATCTTAAATGGTTGAGAAAAACCACTTAATTATAAAATGCAAATTGAGTTTAAACAAAATTGCATTCTACAGACTTCATGTCAGCAGTCACTATATATTGAAAATTAGCATATATGCTTCTCTAACAAAAACTCTCTTCAGAAGGCTAAGCATAGCACTTGACTGTAAATAAAAACAATATCCACACCGAAGACTGTATAAGATAAATATTATCTTTAGTTACACAAACAATATAGGCAAGGAGTTCATTGTCTGAAATAGAATGTGAATTGATAACTGTGATAGTGCTCTGCTTTAACTTTCTGGGTGACCCTTCGTCTTGGGCCTTTCTGTGGAGCCTGCCACAAATACAAGTGCACTCAAGAAGACATGTTTAATTGGTTTGTCTCTCCCAGTTACACCTTTAATTGACCTAGGTTCCAAGTAAAACAATGAATGCAGTGAAATGCAAGGCAATTACTGCACTAGCGTTTTATTTTGTTGCAAGGGATAATCAAAGCCTGTTATTTCCTTAGCTATTCATTTATGAAAACAGCTGGTAACAAGAAACTGAAAATATATTTGTAATATGCTTAATGAATTACTTTTAGGTAGCAACCTTCCTCACCACCCACTACATATACATTTAAGATCAGTATAACATTCTCCACTTGGACTTCATGCAATAAATTAGCACATGGTAGTATGAATTTGGCAGTCTATTATGCTGCCTTCATCATTGTATAATCCTTGCTAAAATATTCTTTTATTTCACAGGCCTCAGACAACTGTCTACTTTAAAATCACTGTTAATACTTTGTCATAGGTAACTCGACAATCCACCTTTTATATTCCATCAGATGTTTCAAATGGTTGGAAGATTAGAAGTATGCTGTACTGAAACATTAAACACAAATTAAATTGGGCAAAGAATAACTCAATGTTAAATGTAATGCACAATACTTTTGTGTAATATATTAACAGGGGTTGGTTCTCCAAAGGTGAAGTGCTAGGTTACAATCTACACTATGACCGTCAGAACTATATTGGGATTTAACACTGGCAAATCCTCAAGAGAAATGAAAAGACAACACACACACACACTGAACCTATGAAGTGAGACATTTTAAACACATTTACTATAGTTTAAAATAGTGGCAAAAAAAAATCAAATAAAAATCTACTCCAGTCTTTTCCCTGACTCACATATATTGTATTATCCTGCCCCAAATTCTGTATTCTGAAAGATTGTGTAAATCAAAAATACTGTATGTGGCATTCAACAACTGTATTATTAATTGGGAGTTGTGGGAGTGGGACATGGGGTCTTTTATTCCTTTTATTTTATTTTTACATAGCTTTTTGCAAAAGGATAAACTTGAAGCATTAATCTATATTTATTTATAAGAAAACATTATACACTATATTGAAAAATAATTTTATCAAAATCAGATTTCAGCCACTATTTCTAATTAAAAGTCCAAGTCAAAATTGCACTTTGCAGTCATCCTGATGGCATTTTTCATTCTGGATTTATTTTCTTTCCACAGAAACAGTTTCATCTGGATTTCTCTTTCGCGAATGTCTGTATTTGTCCACATAAGCTTTTACCAGAGTTGCTACTTTTGCAGAATTAACTTCCCCACTTTTGCTATGGCAAACCTAAAAAATTGAAAAGCAAAAGTTAAAGTGTTATTTAATCTATTGCATTATGGGTACAGATGAAGATAATAATTCCTAATCTGATGCCTATTGAATGTCAGACTCCAGCAAAATCAAAAGGGATTTCTGGAAAAATTCTATACCAGTTCTCCAACCTTTCTGGCTCTGCGAACTGGGGGGGGGGGGGAGATGGTTCCGCACAAGCATCCGGCAAGAATGCACACAGTTCCATTTGCATGAGCGCAAATGGAATACATATGTGCTCACCCACTGCTTATGCAAGTGTGGCTATGTGCGCACATGCTGCTTATACAGAACCCCTGTTCTATATAATTCTTACAGAACGTTCCCAGGGGAAAAAAAAACCATACTGGAAGGTTGGAATGAGATGAGAAAATGGCAAATACATAATTAGACTATTCATAGATCCAAGAATGAATGAGAATGTTGATTTTGATGAACATCTGCTTAGGAAAAAGTTTATTTCAAATATATGTGGTATGTATGTGTGTGTTGCATGTACATGCACACACATACACAAATACACACACACATACACAAACATGCATATGTTATATGAAATAAATGAAGCACAACTGATCAGATTATTTATGACAAAGTATGAGATATAAGTGTGGCAAGAGCTCTTAATGTGGGATGGACAATCTTTGGCAGTGTCAAGAGTGAATTATGGAGAAAAATGGTCATGGAAAAAATAAAAAAGAGAAACAAGAGTAAGAGCAAAATTATTGCAGGAAGAGAAATTATATAAAATGTTATTAGAAGAATAGACATAAATATAAAATGTGAAATCTGCTTGGAAAAATGTATGTTACAAATTGAGAAAGAAATCTTTCAGGTTACACTGATGGCGATGCTGAAAACAGATGCTTCTTTGAAGGAACTGAAAGAGCTTGGAAAACTGCGTATAACAGACTTCTGCAAAACTAAGAATGAAAGAAAAATACAGCATAAAGATAAAACAGTTACAAAGAAGGGAGTCAATGAAAAAAGGTTTAATATTAAATGAGACAGAATTCAAAACCTTTTTGACAATACACTTTTAAAAAACTGTTTTGTAAGTGGCCAAGAAGAACTAAAGAAAGTACTTCCAATAGTGAATATACTTTTAAAAAATTGAATGAAAGAGTTAGTTAGGGAATGCTAGAAGTATTAAGTGACTGCAAAAACTGCAGAGGGATTAGTTTGTTCCAATTGCCTTGAAAAGCACAGCCTGGCCATCTTTGCTTTCCTTCAAGCTTGCTACCAGCTGCCATGGAAACGATGGGCGGGGAGAAGCAATGGATATTTGGGAGAGGAAGCGTGCAGGAAGTAAAACTGGAATTTCTAAGCGATGGGGAGGCCTTGACTCAGAGGCCAGCCTGAGTTGTTTAACATATCCAAGGCCAATCGTGCTGGGAATGGGATGCATAAAGGAGTGATGCACCTGGACCACAGACATTCCAGCCACTTGTTCAAGCATGAGAACCTATACAATCTCAGACAAGTCTTAAATCTCAGTCTCTTCTTAACCCCCCCCCCTCCGTGATGGAGCGCCCACAACTTCTGGAGGCAAGCAGTTACACTGGTTAATTGTCCTCACTGTTAGGAAGTTTCTCCTTAATTCCAGGTTGCTTCGTTCTTTGATCAGTTTCCAACCATTATTTCTTGTCCTGCCCTCTGGTGCTTTGGGTAATCTGACCCCCTCTTCTTTGTGGCAGCCTCTCAAATACTGGAATACTGCTATCATGTCACCCCTAACACTTCTTTTCTTTAGACTACACCCAAAACCTTCAGCCGTTCTTCATATTTGAACTTTCTGAACTTTTTCCAAGATCTCAACATCTTTTTTATAATATGGTGACCATAATTGGTTGCAGTATTCCAGATGTGGTCTTACTAGGATTTTGTAAAGTGTCACTAATACTTCACGTGATCTTGATTCTATGCCTCTGATTGTACAACCCAGGATTGTATTAGCTTTTTTGGCTGCTGCTGCACATTGCTGGCTCATATTCAAATGATCGCACACTAAGACTCCAAGGTTCCTCTCACAGTTACTGTTTTTGAGACAGATCTCGCCTAATCTATACTTGTACCTTTGATTTTTCCTGCCTAATTGTAAAGCTTTGCTTTTCTCCACATTAAAATTCATTTTGATAGGGCCCATTGTTCAAGTTTGTCAAGACCTAATAAACTGAATTGTGTTTAATTATGTAAGGTTTTGAGCAAAAATGGAGTTGAAAGCTGGAGGTTAAATGGATTGAGAGCTGAGTATCAGGAAACTAAATCATGTGTGAAAATAAATTATTCAGCACTGAGGACAAGTTTCCCCCTTCCCTGTTTCCCATGACTCTCATCTTATAAGGATTCTACAAGTCTTTGAAGATGAGGCTTTGCTCCCAGGCATGGGGTTAAATCATTTGTTGAGCCCCTGGTGGGGTTTCTATAAGGTAATGGATGATTTTGTCTGGACCCACATGTCAGTTTCTCTTTTAATCATTTCTTCTTTTTTTTTAACCTATCTATGTAAGATGTCTAGATTCATTTGCTCAGGCAGCCTTCCAAATCAAATTAAATCAAAGAATATTTAAAATCTGTTCATCAAGGACAGGAAAGTATACTATATTTTTATATAGAAATGATGTTTTATTGGCTGAAAAGCTCAAAGATTTTTACTGTTAGACTGCATGATACAATGAGATAGCTCTCATAATTAATGTATCAAAAGCCAAGGTTGACAAGGGAAATTGTCAAAGCTGACTTTGCTTTCATCATTACCTGCATCAACTTCCAGCTCACGGTTTGCCAAACAGAAATGGGAAGGGGGGTTTAGTAAATTCCAAGGGCGGGGGGGGGGGGAAGGAGGGCTAACGAATGCATGACAGCCTTCTGCTGCTGGAGGGAAGATGCCTCTACCAAGGCCAGGTTCTTGAAGCTACCAGCTGGTGCAGACTGTTTTCCCAAACAAAAATACTGAGTGTAATTGATAGACAATCAACTGTGGGCAGCCCAGGGATGAAAAGGAGGGTTGACCTATGTGGGCTTTTGCAGAAAAAGCAACTTTGCTTCTGACTTTGCTTCTGCTATGCCTAAGTTGACTTTTTAATAAAGTTTTACTCTTAGTAATTCCTAAATGCCAGGAGTTTGGTTTTTTGGATGTGCCAAATTTATATTAAATCAGCCCAGAAGATCATTGGTTACCCTCTCCCCTCTTTGGAAGAGCTTTATCGCTCTCGCTGCCTTAAGAAAGTTCAAAACATTCTCAAAGATCCATCTCATCCTGGGAACCCTTTTTTTGAACTATTACCACCTGGCAGACCGTATAGGATAATAAAAGCAAGGACAAATAGGCTGAGAAACAGCTTCTATCCCGGGGCAGTAGCTCTTTTGAATTCTGCTGTATAGTGCAGTGTTGGTGTAGTGCCGGGGGTTTCCGGTTCAATGTGTGAAGGGTGAAGGATGTGTGTTTGTGTTTACTTTCATGGTCATGGTCATGATGTGCACTGAAGATGGTGTTTGATTTCGTTGTACAAGGTGCAATGACAATAAAATAAACTAAAAACTAAACTTTCACAATAGTGACTATCTGGACCCCAGCAGGTCAGAAACCCCAAAATATCAGCAATAGACAATGAGCTGGAGGAAAAGAAGTTGGAAGAAACCTTGGCTGGAGAAGCCCTGGTGGTGTTACAGCCAGAAGGTGCACATCCCAGAGAGCTGAGAAGCTGGAGCCACAGCCAAACAGCTTAAGGGAGCAGCTGAGATATGCCCCCTACCAGGAGCCAAAGATCTGCTGGGCAGTGAAAGTAGGGAGGGCGGTGGAAATTAAGGACCCCCTAACACTCAGAAGTGTTAATGTGATCTGAGGGAGGAACTGGAAGGAAAAACAGCCAGTCGAGTGGAAAGTTTCAACAGCCACCCACAGCCCATCAATCGATGGAGGAAAAGGTTTGGTGGGCTATTATAGATCAAAGGAGTGGTGTCACTGGGTGCTGCAGCAATGGTGGCTGGGACACATGGAGTGAAAGTTCTAACCAACCAATCTCCTCCCCACCTGCAGCTGAGGAAGCCAGCACCTGCCAGGATGATTGGGTCTCCAGTGCAAGGAGCAGTGGCAGCAGGCTCCACCACCCCTCCTCCGGCAGGCCCCCGTGTCCCTGGCAGCACCTGGGATCCCTCCTCCTCCACTGGTGGCAGAAGCAGAGAGAACGACCACCCCCCACCCCCACTCTAATGGTCTATTTTGATGGGGGGACAAGTTGGCCTACTTCTTGGCGTAGATGTGGCCCCATATGGGGGAATGTACCCAGCCTGGGTTCACACAGTGGTATCCAACCTGGAAGGTGGTGCTGCCGCATGGCTAGTGTCCCTGCACAATAGAAGGGAAATGGAGCTGGACGATCTGGATGTGTTCATGCAGATCATATGGGAGCGATCTGAGGACCCCGAGGTGGCTCAACACACAGAATCCTATATCTGAACTTTTAAGCAAGGAAAGTGGCCAGCAATAGAGTACATCCAAGACTTCTGCAGCCTGGCTAGCCACTTGAGGGACTGGCCGGAATGCATGCTGTTTTCTACTTCCGAGAAAGGCTGAACCAAGAACTATACCAAAACTGGATACCCCGAGGGATCCCAAATGGCTGACGAGATAGAGATCAACCTGGAGTTCTCAGAGCCAACCCTGCAGAATGCTTGAATGACAGCCGGGTCCCAGAGTGGGCAAAGAGGATACAACACTATCCAGAGGAAACAAGCCTCATCAGAACCAGGGAGCCTATTTCCTCTGTGGGAAGGAGGCCCATCGAGCAGCCAAGTGCCTCGCACCACATCCAGCATCCGCTTCTCCACCTGCCAGTCAGCCCAAAAGGAAGAGGCCCTCTGTGAAGCTGAAGGAGAAGACACATGTAGGGTGGCAGTTCGTTGAGTTCTCTCCCCAGTCCAGTGAGGAGGAGGGAACTCTGACCATCACCCAAGCATGTCCAGTATTCTACAAGAGCAACAATAAAGGGGAAGATGACCCAAGGATGAGTGGCACCATCATCCCCATGACAGCCAGGGTCAGGATCATGGTGCCCTCCTCGGGGATGAGGGGAACTATTACAGCATTGCAGGACTCAGGGTGCACATGATGCATAGTCAGTCCCCAGGTGGTGGAAGAACTGGGACTGAGACTGAGGAAACTAAGGTGATCCATGGCATTTTCCCAACTGGATGGATCAATAACATGCGTATGCCAGCTATCTGCCTGACCAAGCCAGTAAAGCTCAAAGTGGGGACCTACATAGAGACTATTAGATTCATTGTGGTCCTGGGATTGGCATGGTGGAAAAAATGGAACCCCTCTGTGAGCTGGACAAAGAGGGGGCAGATGTGATATGGAGAAAAACCAGCAAGAGCTAGGGAAAGTGTAGCAAGCTGGCTGAGCACCTGCAGTTAGGAAAGTGAAAGCGGAAACAGCAAATACACTAAAAGGAGGTGATGGGTTAGAGCCTCTGATTCCAGGAGAGTGTCGCAAGCTAGCTGAAGTTTTCAGTGAGAAGAAATCAGTCATGCTCTCACCTCACGGACTGCACTATAGAGATTGTGCTATTCAAGGAAAAGCAGTACAGGTTCCTTAGGCTGTGCATGGATTATAGAGGACTAAACTGTATATATGTGGAGAACATGTACCCTATCTCCTTGATGAGGGACATGTTGTGTTATTTGGCAAAGGGGGGAAGTCTTCACTAAACTGGACGTGAGAGAGGCATAATGAAAATTAAAAAGGGGCACAAGCGGAAAACCGCATTCATCTGCACCCTTGGATGCTACCAGTTCTGAGTAATACCCTTCGGGCTGCAGGGGGTTCTTGCTATATTCATGCAACTAATAAAATGCTACAGTAGCATTTATACAAAGGGGTTTTGGTGTACTTGGTGATATAGTAATACACACCAAAACCCCTGAAGAGCATGTGAAGCTAGTCAGAGCTGTAATCAAGAAACTGCCCAACTGTACGTAAAGCTGTCCAAGTGTGAGTCCAATTTGCTTGGACTATCTGGGGTACTGTATCTCTAATGAGGGAGTGAAAATGGACCCCAGCAAAATGAAAGCCATACTAGAATGGGAGCCTCACGAATCAGGAGGCAGTTACAGAGCTTCCTAGGCTTTGCAAACTTTTACCACCAATTCATTCCCACGTTCACCCAGATAGCCCTGTTGAAAACCAATCTGCTGAAAACTAGGGGTGGAAGCCAGCCAACCCCCGGATTGGTCCCCTGGCTGCCAAGTTGCTTTTGAAAAACTGAAACACCTATTCATTGCAGAGCCGGTCCTGAAACACCCCGACCTGGAGAAGCCATTTGCAATACAGGCTGATGTCAGCTATGTAGCAATAGGAGCAGTCTTACTCCAAAAGAATGCCAATGGGGAATTGAAACCTTGCACCTACACATCTCACAAACTGTCCAATATTGAAAGGCTGGGATATCTGAGAAAAGGAGGCTTGCAAAGTTCAGTGGGTCCTCATGATGTGGAGATAGTTCTCAGAGAATACTGGTCCCATTCGAGGTCTGGATGGACCACAAGAACCAAGAAGCGCTGACGACCCCCATGAAACTGTCACCTAAGCAAGTCCAACGTGCTCAATATTTTAATTGGTTCAATTTCACCTTCCAATATCTACTTGGAGAAAAGAACTTCCTTGCAGTTGCCCTCCCTGCAAGGAAGCGCCGCAGTACAATTGTGCCTGAGAAGCAGTGATCACTTGCATCATTCCATCTAAACAGTGTGCAGTACCCGCCATCACTCGACAACAAGCAGCATCCCAACTGGAGCCAGCTCAGGAGGGAGTGCAACCCCTGAAAGATGCCCTGGTAAGAGGTGAGTGGTTCCCGCAGCACAAAGACAACCTGTCTCTGAAAGATGGGTTGGCATTGAAAGGGACAAAATTTTATGTCACAGCCAGCCAATTGACCTCAATTTTGCAAAGGCAGCAGGACATTTTGGGTTTGTAAAAACTTTTCACTTTCGTGAAGAGGCAGTTCTGGTGGCCAAAGACAGAGGCATACGTAGCCAGCTGCCCTGTGTGTACTTCAATGAAACAGTTACTTGGGAAGCCCCCTGGTCTATTTCAGCTGGTGGCCAAACTGATGAAGCCCTGGGAAGAGATTTCAATGGACTTTATTGTGGAATTGCCAGAAAGGGCAGGAAATACTTTAATCTGGACCATCATGGACTTATTTTCCAAGAAGGCACATTTTGTAGTGTGCCCAAAGGTTCTCTCCACCTGGTCTCTGGGGAAGATGTTTGTGAAGCATATCTATCGGCTGCATGGAGTCCCAAAACACATCACTGTGGACCAAGTGTAGTTCATGTCAAAATTTTCGCAGGAATTCCTCAACCTGATTGACGCCTTACAGGGCCTTACCTCCATCTATCATCCTAGTACCAATGGAGTCAAAACATACGAATTCAGTGTTGGAGCAGTACCTCAGGTGTTATGTCAACTACTAACAGACCAATTGGCTGAACTTCTACCTTTTGTAGAAGTGGCATACAATAACTCCGTGCATAGTAGTACAGGGGTTAACCCTTTCGGGGTAGCTAGTGGAATAGAGTTTGGGCCCATGTCGGAAATCCCACAGGGGCAGCCGTCATCAGCATCCTTGGCCAAATGGATAGAAACGTTAAAGGAAATATGGGTGGTAGGGGCATTGCAAAAAGCTAGGGAAACATAGAAGAGGCAGGCAGACAAGGAAAGAGCCTCACTGGGAGCACTTTCACCTTATACTTTGGGTATGCACATGCACTTGCGCTTTAGGCACTTGGTGCCTAAAAGATTCATCACCGCTACCTTAGTCAATGCAGAATGGGTGGCTGCAATAGATATGAAGGTAGCTAACTTAGTGTAGATTTCATGCTGAACATCCCGGTTGGCCCAATAAGGGGAGACACATATAATGTGAGGTGGGCTAAGGAATGCGTGAAAGCCTTCTAATGCCAGAGAGGAGATACCCACCAAGACCAAGTTCTCAGACCTATCAGCTGGCACAGACTGTTTTCCTAAAACAAAAGTACCGAATATAATTGGTGGACAATGAACTGTGTGTGGTCCAGGGTGAAAAGGGGTTTTTACCAATGTGGGTTTTCATGAAAAAAATCTCACAGCTGACTTTGCTTCTGCTGTGCCTAAAAGAATCTTTCAACAAAGTTTTACTCTTGGTAATTCCTATGTTCCAGGAGTTTATTTTTTTTGATGTGCCAAATGGGACAGTTGATGGGAGAACTATTGCAAGTTTCCCCAAAGGGTAAAAAATGAGAACAAGTAGATTATATGTTGTGTACTTTAGTAGAATGTTTACTTACAGATGGGAAAATAGAGGGACAAATGTTAAGATGTGTATATGTGTCAGTAAGTACAAGGTGACTTGTTTGTTTGTTGAAAGCAGAGAAAAGGGTTGTGCATAAAAACAAAATTCTGCCCATTTGTTACATGGAAATGAGAAATAAGCATGTGAGAAAAACAATGTAATTGGAGCAATGTGCTCTGGACTAACAAAAAAACTATGTAGGAAACAGTACATGGGTGAGATAAAAACAATGATAATTCACAACGATACAATTTTGTCTTCACACCACATTGTGCACCACCTACTTTGCTATGCTGTAATTACTTAGCCCAAAAATGAAGAATATGATCAGTATTGTTTGTATGTGAGAAACAATATCTGATGTGCTAAATGCCTGTAACATATATATAGCTATATTAAAGAGCTGAAGCTATTATCTCCTATGTCAAAAAACCTGAAAGTAATAAAACTAGACTGCTAATCATAGATGAATATTATCAATATTACTTACCTTATCTACTGCTTTTCTAACTATCTCTTTATACTCTTCTTTAGAAATATCTTTATTTTGATAGAAAGGCTTAATAGCAAGTTTTACTTCTTGTGCAGCTTTTTCTTGAATTAATAATTTCTAGAAAAAATAAAGGGTGCATCTTATTTAGGAAAAGGGTGCATATATAAATTAATATTTTGAAGTGATTAATACCCAATTCAAATATGCATAAATACTAATCTCTACAGCAGCACAATCCCTGACTGCAAAGCACACCCCCACCCCCACCCCCAATGCACTTTCTGCAATATAACATAAATGCTAGAAGATATACATATTATTTGGTGGGGAAATTTATTATGGATATTAGATTGTTCATGTCAACCTCTAGCCATAAGTGGCTAAAGATTATTCTATAACTGACTGAAACAAAACATTTCTTCATCTAAAGAAGCTTGTTAACATGCTATTGCCTGCACAGGTGCAGGTTCCAACAATTTAGTAAAATTACTTTTACCATACCTCCATCTTTTCCTCTTTTTTTTTTTTTTTTAAAAAACCCATCTAATATAGGTAGAAGAGTGGTTTGAGAACACGGTATCAAAGTAGATCTGACGTTATGTATTTTTTATATCAGGATACAAATTGTAAAATTCTTAAATCCCATGGAAAAATAACATAATAAAAATGACTGATGCAAACATTATTTTCAAGGCAATTTATTCCTATTTTTAGTTATTCAAAATTATTCATGTTATTCTTTGCTTTGAACTTACTTGGTCTTTTTTGGAACTATCTGCGCTGGCTTCCACTGTCACATTTACTTTCTTTTCCATCAATTTAACAGCAGCATTGGAAGATTTGATGTTATTTGATGATGCTGTGTTACCTGAACTCGATCCCTGAATAGATTCCACAGTTCTCAGAGCTGCTGTTGTATTCACACTGTTAGCAACATGGGAAGTAGTTGGAGCAGCCTGTTTTAAAATGTTAAGATAATTTAGCGTCCAACTAATTATATGCAGTATCATTGCACAGAATTCTAAACTGCAAATGAATTGAGAAGATGCCACTATCTCCAATATATATATGCAGAACATACAATTAATGGGTAAGGGAAAAAACCTTATATTATTGAAAGAGTTGAAAGAGAACACAATGTGTTTGAAGAAGGGTAGTGTTCAGCAAGTTGTAAATAGTAAAGGATCCTTTTAATATTATTTCCCTTTTTCTCATTCATTTCAGATATTTTTTATATAATCTTTGAAAATAGTTTAATATAATATCTTTTTTCTTCTCAATCTCATGTTGTGGGATGCCTTTCTCGTCTATTAATTGGTGTATCAGTCTCTTTTCTTTTTCTTTTTTAAGTTTATAAGATAGCCATCTTCCTGGTTTATTGGCGTGTTCAAAGTAATTTTGTTTGGACCTTCTCAAGCTAACTTCTATTTTATCTTGTTCAATTAAATTCAGCTTATGTTTGGCTAATATTAACTGGTTTTGTAGTCCTTAGATCTTAGGGGTTTTTTGTAATTGTATTTCTAAGTCTTGGATTTGTTGTTGTAATACGTTTTGTCGGGCATAGATTCTCTTGTTTCTCATAGCATTATAGGAAATTGTTGTGCCTCTTATAATTGCTTTCATAGTATCCCAAATGTTCTGTTTTGAAGTTGTTTCATTATTATTATCTTTTAGAAAATAGTTTAGCTCCTCTTTCAGCTTATTAATATACTCTTCTTCATTTACAATTTGGTTATTTAGTGTCCATCTTTTTTTTATTCGTCTCCTATCTCTCCAAATTAGCTGTATTGGGTTATGGTCAGCCCATTCATTCGGTAGGATTTCAATTTCTTTTATTTCATTAGCCAAATCCAAATCCATCCAAGCCATATCTATTCTAGTCCAAGTCTTATGTGGATTAGAATAGTATGTAAGTTGTTTTCCTTCAAGATTCCGTTCCCTCCATAAATCTTTTAAATTTAACTCTTTCAACATTTCCTTACATGCCGCGGAAAGTTCCCTTTTCCCCTTCTTGTTTTTTCCCATATTACTATGGTCTTTCTGGTAATCTGCAATGGAGTTAAAATCGCCAATCAAGCAAATGTTTCTTTTTTTCAAAGCCTACTATTTTTTGGTGAAGGTGTTTAAAAAATTTCCCCTGGTCATCATTTGGGGCATAGATTGCTACAAGTAAAAATGTGATGTGGTTTATCCAAACTTGTATAACCAGAGTTCTTCCTTCGGGATCCGACCAGATTAATTCTGCCTTTACATCTTGTTTTACGTAAATTGCAATTCCTTTTTTCTTGTGTTTGTCGGCCGGTGCCGTAAAAAGTTTCCCTAATTTTGGACAAATTAGATGTCTTTCGTCATTTTTTGAAATATGTGTTTCTTGAAGACATATTATATCTGCGTTATGCTGAATAAGTTTTGAAAATATCCTTTTTCTTTTTGATAATGAATTTAATCCGTTTATATTGATGGAGAGCAACTTCTTCCCCTCCACCATTTATCTACGTCTGCTTAGATTTTTGCCTAGTAATGATTCGGTTCTCTTGTTGTTGTTGTTGTGGGATTTGCTCTTCTCTCCCAGGTTGTGGGTTATCACTTCCTGAAATTAGAGAAAGTCGTTCCTTTTGGGTTCTGTGATGATATCGGTCCTCCTGTGGTCTCCTTTTAGGTTCTTCTTTAGTGGATTGACCATTCGTATCTGTGAGCTGTTGATGAAAATCTTGGGCCTGTTCTATCAATTCTATTTTGATTTTCCTCTCTTTCCACGTAATTAACATCCCTTCCGGGATTAACCATTTAAATTGGATTCCTTTTTTATTTAAATCATTAGCTAAAAATTTATAATCTTGTCTTATCATCCTCACTTTCTTTGGAATTTGTTTTAAAATCCTAATTTCTCTGCCTTTATATGATATTGTTTCCTCCCTAGACATTTTCAAAATTAAATCCCTCAGACATCTCCTAGAGAAGCGGATATGAATTTCTCTTGGACAGTTGTTACGCCTGGCGTAGCTTGTGCTAACCCTATATACCTCATCAAACTCTTTAATTAGATCATCTTTTTCCTTTCCTAACCATTCAGCCAATATTTCTGCCATCAAATGTTCCAATTCTTCAGTTTTTGCTTCCGCCACATTCTGGAACCTTAAATACGCCATTGCTTTGTCCATCTCGAGGTGGACCAGAGAGTCTTCCGTTTCTCTAAGTACATTTTTAAATTCCTCATCCATCCTTTCAAAGTTAGCCTCCATGCGTATTGTTCTACTCTCTATATCTTTTATTTTCACTTCGTTTCTCTCCATGGCCTGCTGTAGAGACCCTATCTTACCCTCCACCTTCGATAAATCCGCTTTCACTTCAGCCTTCAGTTTCCCCATCTCATCTTTCAATTCGCTTATATCTGCTCTAGTTTCCTTGTGATTTTTAATCATCATTTCTTGCATTTTAAATATAGCTTCCTGCAAGGATAATATGGAAGTTTGTATATTAATGTTGGGGACATTAGGCTGCTTTTCCCCTGTTAAAGACTCCTCGATAGTTTTTTGAGTTGTTGGTGGGGTGGATGTCAACGTAGTCGATAGGGTCGGGACAGCCTTCCTTCCTGTTTTTAAGGCCATAGTTGTTGTGGATGTCATCTCTCTAAGTATTTGTTTTCGTTGATGCACAATTTTAGATATATTATCCCAAATCACCATTCAGTATTTGGGTCCTGTATTTGAAAGTCTATTCACGTATTTCAATTTAATATCTCACTCCACAGTCTTTTCCCCTATATCATAAATAGATATCTGCAACAATATTGTAGTCTATGTAATAAGAGAATTGGTCAGCAATAGTACATCAATTAACACTTTAAGGCATTAATCTTAAATGTCTTAAGTAGTCTCAATAATTTATAAATAGATTATATCAACAAAGTTTAACCCTTTTTGCTATTAATACTTACAACAGTAATCTCTTAACTATAATAATAGTATATCCTCCTCCCCCCCCCCAAGTAAGTAGAATTTAGTAAGGTATTTAGAAGATACAATAGGGAGACAGGGGGCAAGACAATAAGAGAAAAGGTAGAAGAGAGATTACCACAGCTTCAGAAAATCAACAAAAAAACAGCAAGGAAGTCATCTTAAAGAGAAAATAGTGCCAACTTAGTAAACTTAAGTAGTACCACATAATAAAAAAAGCAAGTTGGGTGAGCTAAAGGTCCATCTTCCAGCTAGAGGATTCTTTTCAGCCTTCCAATCAGCAAATGGTGTAATGTGCTGACTAATCTGCAGTCCCAAAACCGTCTTTCCCAGCCTTCTGTTCGCCTCTGCCTTCCTCTTGCTGCTTCTTCTTTCTTTGCTTTCCAACTTTTAAATCAACATACAAATCTTCCAAAGTCCAATATAATGCTCAATTTGTCTTCTCCACAATATTAAGTAGATATAATAGTCATGTTGTGCTCAGATCAATTCCGGACCTCCGATCTCCGGGTTTTAGCAATCTCCCTCTTTTCCCAGAGCTTCCCCTTCACAGGGTAAAACTGTGTTTTCCTTTTGTGCTTAGACTTTTCCGCTCTCCATTATAATCTTTCCATTTTCCCAACTGCTTTTCTGGCCGCTCTCCGCCCGACTTCCGAGAGGTGCTAATCACAACCGGAGAGAAGAATTTGTGCTATCATTCTTCTGTCATTCTGCTCCCTTCAGTCTTCAAAGAATCCAAGTTATAAACCGTTTCTCTGTTCCTGTTACTCGATCTCGCAGGCTGTCACTGCTTTGCTTATTCACTCAAGTGGCAGACCGGATTGGAAGCCGCCATAGAATGACCGCTTACTCTTTTGCGCCGGGCTCGGGAGCTTCCCTCTTCACTGTCGGGGGGTTGCCTTCCCCCCTCTGCAGCTCGAGGATCTCCACGTTGACACAGACCTCTCCGGGGTTCGTGTATCCCTGGGGGATCGCTCCTGACGCCAGAAAAGGTGTTTGAAGCCTGCACCAGACTTCTTCACCTCCGTTCTCCCTGTCCTGCCACCCGCAGAACACAATGTGTTTGAAGAAGGGTAGTGTTCAGCAAGTTGTAAATAGTAAAGGATCCTTTTAATATTATTTCCCTTTTTCTCATTCATTTCAGATATTTTTAATGGTTGCCTAATAAGTAATGGGCTTGTTTAGGGAGAAAATCAATTATGTGTAAGCATCATTATGGACATTTATAAAGAAAGAAGAAATCCAATGATGAAAGTGATTCTTGATGTAGTGGCAGCTAGCTGAACAGCTTATAAAACAAACATCACCACAAGGCAATGTGATGAGCAGTAAATTTCACGAACTTGGTTAACTGAAGTTGGAAGAATCTTATTTTTTGGCCTTACTGTCTTAAGAGTCCTTGATACATCAGCATAATAGCAAACATTTAGACACCCTATATCAGGGGTGGGCAAACTACGGCCCGCGGGCCACATCCGGCCCATTGGTCTTTTTAATCCAGCCCGCCAAAGATTGGTACAGAATTAAGGTTTGATGTGAATGATTGAATGATTGCATTCATTTGATTTTGACTTGCAATGACAGGCATTTCGACACCAGGTGGCGGCCTGTCTGTCAAATTTTAAAAGTCAATGAGGCCCCCGAGCCAAAAAGTTTGCCCACCCCTGCCCTACATGATCAGTATAATGGTGCTTAACTTTCCCAAGATGGCTTAGATAGGTCCCTCCCAAAAGTGTTTATAATGTGGCAGAATAAGCACTGGCAAGCAGAAATAAGCTGTAGTGCAGGGCTGGGCAACTATGGCCCCTTGACAATCTGTGGACTTTCACTTCCAGAATTCCTGTGTCAGCCTGAGTCAGTTTCACTCAGTCACAGAAGTTTCTATATGGTTTTGGGTCAATCACATGCCTTAACTCAATCTACCTCTCAGGTTTAGTGCTATACAGATAAAACAGATGCATGCCACACTGTCTTGAATTCCTGGACACATTACGATTTGT